AGAAGTTCGGCGAAGATGCAGCCGACCGACCAGACGTCTATCGATGTTCCGTATTTCTCGCAACAGAGGAGGAGTTCCGGGGCTCTGTACCACCGGGTGACGACATATTCGGTCATGAATTGGTTGTCTCTGGAGCTGGAGCGAGCGAGACCGAAGTCGCAGATCCTCAGGTCGCAGTTGGCGTTGACGAGGATGTTCCCGGGCTTCAAGTCTCTGTGAAGAATGTTTGCCGAGTGTATGTACTTCAATCCTCTCAGCAGCTGCATAATGATGAGAATGTCTGATTAATCTTAATATCACCCTTAATCATACTAATTATCACACTAATTGGTCAATTTTTAATTTCATTAATATCTACATGACATAATTAATACAACTTTAGCCTAATTAATGCCCCATTACCATAGCACACCAGCTAACACACTAATTAATTAGTGGTAATGGGTTAACAACTTCAGTGCCTAAACAGATTAAGAAAACCAGGATACAACTTGTCAAAAAGCAGGAGAAAATAATTGACAAGTCAACAACCCTCACATAAGAAAAGAAGGGTATCCACTGCCCTATACATTCACATATCTAACACATATACATTTATGTACAAAAATCATATATAAAATTTAGTTAAAGATCTATACCTGGTAGAGAAAATACTGAACATGATCATTAGAAAGCGGCTGAGGCGATTTAATAATATGATTGAGATCAGTATCCATGAGTTCATAAACAAGATAAACATCCTTAAAATTTCTTCTTTGTGCTGGCACCATGATGTCCTTCAAGGCAATGACATTCTCGTGGCGCACAAGTCTGAGGAGCTTCAACTCGCGCAAAGTTCTCAGCGCATCGATCGGATTATCAAAGACATTATTAATTTTTTTAATCGCAACCTTCTCGTTGGTCTCTATGTTTATGGAGGAGCAGACAGTTCCATAAGCTCCTCTGCCGATCGCCTTGAGAAGCATGTACTTCGTGTCGATTTCAAACGTGTTTCGGAAAACCGAATAATAATGTTTACCTTCAGATGGAATGCCGTTTGGGGGATTCACCATTATCGCCTCCATTGCTCCTCAATCTTCTGCAGACAGAACTCGATTTGCCTTTCCTGCGATCTCACCGAAGATGATAATGGACAAACAGCGAAAAAAACAGATGAATATGGCCGACGATAGTCGGTTAACTCGCGGGAACTCTCGACTACGGCGTAGCACGATGCATCGACGATTCAGATCACGCCTTGTGTCCGAAATATATGGCTTGGATCATCCGATCCGTTACTTGGCAGGTATGGCTTTAGATGCAATTCAAGAGATGAAATAGGCCGCGGAATCTTCTGCGGTTTAGACGGTCTGGGATGCATTTTGGGCCGCGAGATGGCGGAGAACGAACGGGTGATGTCCACGTGTGGAGCTAGCGGGTGTTTGCTGACCCAACAACGGCTGGCTTTTGGAAATTACTTGTGGAGTTTGGGTGGGAAGAATTTCAGTATATTACGGCCAGCATTTTATTTTTTATTTTTTATTTTTGTTATTTTTTTATTTTATCATCAAGGAAACCAGGCATTTAGGAATGATATGCAAAATTATAATGGATAAAAATGAATAAATAAAAATAGAGCCAAAATTATTTTTTTGATGAGGGCATAATAAGAGATGTTTGAGACTGAAATTTGAGTTTTAATTCCGATTGATGAAATAATAGTCCATGTATTTGCCAGTTTTTGCAATTTGTATATCATTAATTTTTTTTTTACATATGATTTGCTCATATGTTATTCAGAATGGTAGCAAGTCTATTGATTAAACTAGTTGATGGAGCTCTGAATACTCTTTCTGATTGACTAAATTTCAGATTAATGAATGTGCCCAAACGTTTTGGTGGGGGCGAAATGAAGTAGACAAGTGGTGACATCTCTATAACTCTATTTAAATAAACAAAGACATTAATCAGTCTTCTATGTTTTTACTTTGAAATATTCATTAGAGAAATTCATTATTGCTGTGGAAGACCAATGATCAGAGGATATATTATTCATTTGTTTTCATTATGCTATAAGCTGTGGTCCAGAAAGGCAAAACCATGATCTTACATTTTATTTTAAGAAAATGGAATGCATGCTTTGGTTCCTTTTTTTCATTTGAAATATTTGGTCATTAGAGCATTCAATGTTGATATTCCTTTATTATTAGTAAATTATTTTATCTTATGTTTTAGTGCATCTATTTTCATTCCTTTAAAGTATGGTGTTTGGTCTAGGCTTTACTCCTAGAAAACTATTTTTACCAATTGTTTTTTGCTTCTATTGTTTATTTTAAGCATCTAATCGAACTCTATGGACTAGAGAGAGGAAGTTAATGGCGACTCTGAAGGGACCTATCATTTGCCAGCCTGCTCTTCATGCAGCCCACACAAGAATTTCCGCTCGAATGGTAAAAATCCCTTTAAAAAGGATCACAAATACGGAAGTAGTTTTCGACGCTCTACAAAATTACGTGCTGGTACACTTGGAGGTTTTTTTTTTCATAGAGAATGTCAGTGGACAGGTGGTTTGTTCATTACAATCTCTGATATTCATCTGATGGAAATGGAAGCACACAAGAGAACTTTGATGAGAATGATGCTGAGTATGTGAATGCAACTGTAATTGAAGCCGGTATGATTTCTAAACATCATATGAGTAAAACTTTCCCGATCATAATTTCATCAAAAAGTTATTTTTTTCATGGGGAAGTTGAAGCTGCCTTAGCACATGGATGCATGTAGTCATAGTTGACTTTTAGGAACTCTTGGGAAGATTGAGTTTTATTCAGGAAGTTTAAGCAAAACATATATGTTTCTACACATTTTTTCACTGAAAGTATAGATTGGAATCCATGATCCTATTGTTTTCACAACCAATAAGTTGGATTTTCACAACCGATAAGTTAGAAACTAAGAAGTTTTGATTCATCTTAAGTACAATAAAAGATTGTTGATATTCAAAGATAAATGTATATGATAGTTTAATTCAAGGAAAGAAAAGCAAATCAATAGAAACCTAACTAAATTATGTAATATTGACACTTCATTTTCGGACATTCCAAATTATATGTTAGCTGATGCCCCCTTAAACTCGAGCTTCTCAAATAGTTGGAGGGTAGCTCTACTTGTATCTTAATTCACATGAAATTCTATCTCTTTAACTATCAGGTAATGTAAACCTAATTGAGGTGGCCATATACATCAGTGATAAAATTTAATTTTAACCTAGAAGTTTAAGATCATGAGATAGGATCAATCATTTAATATTTCTACACTTTTTTTAAAGTATTATATATTGGGCTAGATCCATGTGACCCATTAATTTCGTGAACTACTTGATTCCAATCGAATTATTATTTTTTATAGTACTTCTTAGAGTGTCGATTAAAAGGGCGATTGAAGTTTGCAATATGCACAAATGATTAAACTTAGTTTCAATCAACAAGCTTAAAAGTATTGGAGATTGCAACCATTTAATATCTCTCCACTACATATTTCTTAACTATATGATGTATGACTAAACTAATACTCTAATTTATGTTAACACCAAGATATAAACATCAAATTCCAACATACGCAAATTATCTCTCATAAATGCCGTGATGGAAATGTTCTTTATTTATTTGAAAAAAAGCTATTTCTTTCATTTGCTTTTTTTTTTTTTTTTTAATTTGTATGGAGCATGGAGGGGGAACTTGCTATTTATGAAGCCTAAACATCAAAATCATATGGCTATGGAGAGAAAGAACTCATTCACAATTTGGATCATAGAAGTAATTAATTGACCTCAAATAATTTGACTTCATTCATTGCCAATCAATGATAACCTGCTCAATTCCAAGATATTATTCAAGATTTATAGAAATAGGATTATAGGGGAAGGCAAAATTTTAATCCAAACTAATCCTATCTTGTGACCAAGTTAATTCTTATCCAAATATTTAACTGAAACTTTATTTAAAGAGAATAGTTCAAGTAAATATATTAAATCAAATTAAAATAATGTAGAGTTTAGCCATATTTAAGTGTTGAAACTTGGATCGATTCGTCTCCCTCTGATTTGCCTCTTTTTGATTGGCTTATGAAAATTTAGACTTTCATGGGTTAAGCTAGTTAATTAGTATTGCTTTCACCTGACTAAGAAAGAATTTTTGTTCTCAAGTGTTTGGTGGAGGCCATACAGGAGAAAATGATTTTCCCAGGTAATCTAAAAGAATTGCCCATGCTATAAATAAAACAATTGGGGGAAGAGTGAATCAAACACACATATTTGAATGCCCTTTTTCTTTCTCTATGCTTAAAAGGAAGCATTTTCAATAGAGCTTTCCTTTAGAGTTCAACCTTTCTCAAGTCCTTGTTCATGTTGATTCTCTGAAATGCAAAGCTATGAAAAAAAAATTTCAGCTTGCACATTTCGATTTATTATGTTTGGCTTGAAATGACCTAGAAGGATTAATACGAATGAAAAAGAGATTATTTAAATGGGAATATTTAAATAGATATGTTGGTAGAATTCTAGACGATTTTAGAAATATTCATTGGTGGCTACGCTTTAATGAAGAAGATAGAGTCCTGTTGAATTTTGATTTAGCTTAGAATTTAAACTTACAAATACTATTAACCAAATTGTAAAATATGTACTTAAAGAATTAACATAAAAAAAAACTGTTATAAATAAAAATAGTTAAGGGTAAAATAATAATGTGTAAGAAAAGATAAAATATAAAAATTAGTTTAAATATAAATGATTAGATAATTAGAAAAGATATAAGTTGACCTGCATGGAGTCTAAGAGAATAATTTGTAATGATAAAAATTTTATTTTTACTGATCTTTATATAGATTAGATACTGAAGAAAGCGAAAGATATATGTATAAACTAGTCAAATGAATATGTAAAAAAAAGAAAAGATTTATCAAAAGTATTTTTCTTAGATGAATATATTCAATATAGGTGGGTAAGATATTTTGATAAAATTTCAATAACGATTTGAAAATTTTTTCAAATTTATTGATTTAATATTGTTAATAATAATAAGAGTTTTTATTTTTATCATCACATTAATGAAAAAAAAAGTTGATAAGAATTCAAAGAAAATGAAGAGTGAAAATCAATAGGACTTTATAGAATTCTAACAAAAAATGCCGAAATATTTAAGAGATTTGAGAATTTTTTTGCTTATTAAAATTTTTAATATTATTATAAAAACTTAAAAGATGCTTGTGGAATAGAGGAATAATATTTTTTTTAAGAATAAAAGGGATGCACAAGAGTGTGTAAATTATAGAGAAATTAAGTTAATGTATCATATATTAAATTATGAGAGAGTCATCGGACATAGGTTAAGAAGTAATATAAAGATTTCTCAAAATTTTTTTGGATTTATGTTTGGTAAATCTAATCTGGAAGCTATATATTTATTGAGAGGTTTGATAGAGAAGTATAGAGAAAGGAGTATCTAAATTTGATTTTTGCTGATTTAGGGGAAAAAAAAACTTATGATATGGTTCCAAAAGAAATTCTTTAAAGAGTTCTAGAAAAGAAATGTGTTGATATAACTTATATTTAATTCATTAAAGATATGTATGTTAGAGTTGTTACTTTTGTTTAAATAGAAGAAAGATTGACCAAGTAGTTTTCAATTGTAGTTGAATTACTTCAGGGATCAACTTTAAGACCATTTTCTCCTGCTTTAATTATAGATGCTCTTACTGAACATTTACAGGAGGATGTACCTTGATGTATGTTTTTCGCTGATGATATCCTTCTTGTGGATAAGTCTAGAGAAAAAGTTTAGAAAAAACTTGAATTATGGATGTAAACTTTAGAGTTTAATGGCTTTCGTTTAAGTAGATCTAAAACTAAATGCATGGAATGCAATTTGAATAGTAGTAGATCTAGTGGCAGATTTTTAAAAATGGGTGATCAAATCATTAGGAGTGTACGTTTTAGATATCTTGGGTTTATTATTCAAAGTGGCGGTGATATAGATGGGAATGTTATTAGTAGAACTCAAGTTGGATGGTTGAATTGGAGGAATGCATCGGGTCTATTATGTGATAGAAAGTACTTCTTAAACTTTTAAAAAAAAAATTAATAAGATGGTAGTGGGACCTAAAATACTTTATGGAGCAAAATATTGGCTTATAAAAGATAAGCATAAAACTAAGTGTTGTTGAGATAAGAATGCTTGGGTGGACGAGTCACTTTACAATTAGAGACAAAATGCAAAATGAATATATCCGTGAAAGGGTTGGTATAGCTCCAGTGCAAGACAAATTAGAGAGGGTCGTCTTAGATGGTTTGGTCACATTAAACATTGACCAGCTAATGATCCTGTGAGGAGAGTAGATGTCTTAGATTAAGTTATGTTGAGAAAGGCAAAATGATTTTAATTTATTAGAATTAAATAAAAATATGACACTCGACCGGACACAATGAAGAAAAAAGATTCATGTAGCTAACCCCACTTAGCGGGATAAGTTGCTTTTTTAGGCTTGTTGTTATTGTTGTTGTAAGTTTGGCTTTAGATGAATTGCAAAAATTCTTAAGGTTGAAAATAATTTCATTAATGTTATATCGAGACCTTTTAATTTTTATTTTTTATGGTTGGTTTGGTCTTATATTTAGTTAAAAAAAAATTAAATTAGAGATGTAACACTGAATTCCTGTATATATTTAGTTAAAAAAACATATCCATTAAATTAGTGTTACACCTCAAGTTGGATGGTTGAATTGGAGGAATGCATCGGGTCTATTATGTGATAGAAAGTACTTCTTAAACTTTTAAAAAAAAAATTAATAAGATGGTAGTGGGACCTAAAATACTTTATGGAGCAAAATATTGGCTTATAAAAGATAAGCATAAAACTAAGTGTTGTTGAGATAAGAATGCTTGGGTGGACGAGTCACTTTACAATTAGAGACAAAATGCAAAATGAATATATCCGTGAAAGGGTTGGTATAGCTCCAGTGCAAGACAAATTAGAGAGGGTCGTCTTAGATGGTTTGGTCACATTAAACATTGACCAGCTAATGATCCTGTGAGGAGAGTAGATGTCTTAGATTAAGTTATGTTGAGAAAGGCAAAATGATTTTAATTTATTAGAATTAAATAAAAATATGACACTCGACCGGACACAATGAAGAAAAAAGATTCATGTAGCTAACCCCACTTAGCGGGATAAGTTGCTTTTTTAGGCTTGTTGTTATTGTTGTTGTAAGTTTGGCTTTAGATGAATTGCAAAAATTCTTAAGGTTGAAAATAATTTCATTAATGTTATATCGAGACCTTTTAATTTTTATTTTTTATGGTTGGTTTGGTCTTATATTTAGTTAAAAAAAAATTAAATTAGAGATGTCAACTTTAGAGTCTAAAGGCTTTCGTTTGAGTAAATCTAAAACTAAATAAATGGAATGTAGTTTAGTAGCAATAATAGATATAGTGGTGTGGTTGTAACTATGGGTGATCAATTCATAAAAAAGAGTGAACATTTAGATATCTCAGATATATTATTTAAAGTGATGGTGATAAAGAAGGGGATGTTATTAGTAGAATTCAAGTTAAATTGGTTGAAGTAGAGGAATGTATCATGCCTATTGTATGATAGAAAAATACCGCTTAGGTTAAAGGAAAATTTTATAAAAAGATGGTGAGAGCTGCAATGTTTTATAACTTAGAATGTTGGTTTGTAAAAGAAAAACATAAAATTAAGTGTTCTTAAGATGAGAATGCGTGCATGAGTGGCTTTACACTTAGAGACAAAATTTGAAATGCATAGATATGTGAAATGGTTGGAGTAGCTGTAGTGGCTGGCAAAGATTAGAGAGAGTCCCTTAGATGGTTTGGTCACATTAAACGTCGATCATTTGATGAGCCAGTTAGAAGAGTAGATCTTTTAGATTTGACTTATTTTAAGGAATGTAGAGGTAGACCTAAAATGACTTGGCCATGTTGTATAAAAGTATTTTTAATTTATCAAAATTTAATGAAAATTGACACTCAATAGGACACGATAGAGAAAAAGTATTCATGTAGCCGACCCCACTTAGTGGGACAATGGTTTGTTATTGTTGTTGTCGAGTGTTATATTTGATGATCTCTCACTATGTTATTTTTGGCAAGTGCCTGATGGCTAGAGCTCCCATCTTTTTGTTTTTGTAAGCTTTAATAAAATATTGCAAATACTATGGAACTCAACTGGTGCTCATCTTTTATTCCATCTGTTGTTCTGGAAATTTTTGGATGCCTTTTTTGTGCTCTAAGTTGGTTGGCTTAACTTTTGGATGGATATGTTGTACTATAATTTTGCTGCGTATATAATATTTGTGATGCTGTTCCATCATATTATGATTGGGGATTCTTATATCAGCTCCGTTACTGCTTTGTGGGGTTATTCTCTTCTTGTTCCTTTGATGCTTGCCGTGCTAGTTGATTTGGATATAACATTTTGATTATCTTTGATGAAGTCCCTTAGGCTTGCTGGTTGCAAGGATTCCTGAGCTCAACACATTTTGCTGCTTTCTTTCATTTTGTTGGATTTACATTTTACTATTGGAAGTTTTACAGATGTAACACTGAATTCCTATATATTTACACGCTTAACACCTAAACTTCAATTTTTTGCATGCATGCCACTTGACCTATGCATGAAAAATGTGTATTTCACTTTCTAAAAGTTAAAATTATGGTATTTTTGATGTCATATGATAGATTTGGGCGGTATCAAGGAGGTAGAAATCAAAGTTGGGCGGTATCAAGGAGGAAGAAATCAAAGTTAGATGTTAGACATGTAAATACATAGGAATTGGGTGGTATGTATGTAAATACCCCTAAATTTCTTTCTTCTGTCTATAATTTCTACAGGTTAAAATCACAATGACTTTCACTCCAATTTCTGGAGTCTGGCAGTTCTGATGGGCAGCCGTGCAAAGAAACCAAAGAGCTTGACCTTATTCGAAACATGACTGCTGCTGTTGAAGAACGGTACGCAGATGCAGGTATTCTACTTACTCTTCTCGTCCGAGTGCAATAGGTTCTTTATTTATTTATTTTTTTTAAAAGGGAATCGGATCCTCTTAAGTTATGATAGTTGAATAAAATTTGACAAAATATGTCATCTAATCTTATTTTTTTTATACGTTCGGATGACCTGAATAAATTTTATTACCTAAACTTGTATGATTTTAACAAAAGATACGGACTAAATCCCAACCCTTCACAGTGGAACACACGGTCGAGAAGCAGCTTCAGCTTAGTGGAGAGACCAGCTTTTTCAGCTTCGGTCTAAGAAGAGGAATTGTACATCATGATTAACCTCTACAGATTGGTAAACTCACATTACGTTTGCATCATATACTCACCCATAAGTACGTTGTGCTTGTGCAATAACTTAATATATATACACACACCAGGGTATCAAGGATTATAGATGAATTTCTTTCTGTAACTACTATTGTGATATGATTCATTATGATATTTGTAATGGTGAAAATGTTTCTGTTCTAATGTTGGGTGAATTGTTGTCATTTTTTTTTTCTAAAATGAGTACATTATTATTAGGGACATTTACTAAGTTCTCATGTATATACATGTCTCACCTAAACTTTGTTTTCTTTTACATTTATATCACCTAAATCTTTCATATTACATAAACTATTTTAACTTCAATAAGTGAAATACACCTTTTTCTTGCATAGAGCAGGTGACGTATAAGTAAAAAATTGAAGTTTAGAATTGAGCGGTATATATGTAAGTCCTAGCACATGAAATTTCTGTCAATGATGCCTGTTTTAATTGTCAAGAGCATATAGCTAGGGAGGCCATCTATTATTATTCTGAGATGCTTAATAATACTCATATTTCTAATTATGGTTATAATGCTGACATTTTTCCTAAAGATGTAAGCTGGATTTTGCTGAAAGTGCTGAACTTATTAAGGTTCTATTATATTGACATTAAATAAGCTTTTTTACTATTTTGTCTAACAAGATCCTGGGCTTGATAGTTTCACCGTTGAGTTCTTTGAAGACAACATTTCGTGGTCTGATACTATTGTTGTGGTGAAATATTTTTTTTCATTATTCTAAGCTTCTCAATAGAATTAATTATACGATCATTTCTCTCATTCCCAAATGTAATAATGTTCATTCTTTCAGTGATTTTAGGGCAATATCTCTTTGTAACATAGTTTACAGAGTAATTTCAAGGTTTACTGCATATAGTCATAAAATTTTGCTTCCATCCATTATTAATCTAGCACAGGCAACCTTCATTATTGGTGGTAATATAGCAAATAATAGAACTACGACTACCATCTGTTTTACTAAATCTGTTGATTTGGTGACACAACATATTTGTGATGCGAGTGGCATTTCTTATAAGCCACTGTCTTGGAATTATTTAGGAGTGGCCCTTATGTTGTGAAAAACGATGGTAATAAAGCGAAAAATTGGATCGAGAAATGTCACAAAATAGAAAACACAGCAGAAACACATAAATTTACGTGATTCGGCAAATTGTCTATATCCACGGAGCTGCAGAGGACAGAAACACATAAATTTACGTGATTCGGCAAATTGCCTATATCCACGGAGCTGCAGAGAATTTTAATGCTCAAGGATTACACTCGTCGAGGTGATTACAAGAAAAAATAATTTCTCTTCTCTCTCCTCTCTCCTCGTCGAGGTGATTACAAGAAAAAATAATTTCTCTCTTCTCTCTCCTCTCTCTCTACCCGAGAGCCACCATTAAAAAGAACATCAGAAGGAAATCAAATTCCAAGAGAGATTATAAGGGGAGCTAGCATGACTATTTATTAATTTCATCATGCCATTACACTTATTAGGAAATTAATCAAATAATTAATGAAGCACATTAATTATTTAATTTTCTCTTCTGCAGCAAATCATAGATTGAATTAGTAATTAATTTCGAGAATCAAATCCAATTTACTGCCAAACATGAGAAAATATCAATTTGAACAGTGGACCGGTTTTTATATTCGCAACACCGTAAAGCTTCTAAACTTCTTTCAGATGATTGTTCAAAGCTTCTGTATAAATCACAGACTTGGATTTTGGGCATGAAAGTATAAATACCTTTCTTTTAACAGAAGAATCCAACTTATTAAGACCTTTATTTGGAGTTATTTGTACAACTGATTTAGATCTATTACTATTCTTAAAAGTCTCAGGAAGAATCTCTTCTTAGCATAATAACTTTCTTTGTAATAGTGGTTCTAACTCTTCAAGTTTCATATCATAGCTTCGCTTACTTCCACCAAACCTGAACATTATGGTGGATTGGCTGCCTAATCTTGATTAATATGATGTGTAATTGATGTGCTTACTGTTAGTTATGGTTCTTTATGGATGAAGCATAGAAGGCACTCTTCTGTATTTTGGAAAAGTTTAATTCAGGTGGCTGTGAGAATCAGAAATCCTCTTCAGTTTCGTATTATTCAAAACAATAATCTACTTTTCTTTTTTGAACCATGGGTAAATGATCTTTTTCTTTTAGATAAATTTGGTTACATCATTTTCAATTGATTTGATCTGCCTGAGGTTAATTTCAAATGTTCCTGTCAAAGATTGCAATATCTCAACTTTGGAAGAGTTTACATATATGCTCATGTTGACCCTCACATATCCTCTGCGAGACAAGTCGACCAATGGCGAGAGAGCAAACAAAAAATGTGACACTGCGAGATGAATGTGAAGATGTTTCAAGCATGCTTGAAATTCATCTCAAATATTACCCACTTACAAAAAGAACCTCACACTTGTGTTCAAAACATCAAAATTAGCATATGAGGAGTCTTATGATCAAAATGAGCACGCATGGTGAAATTGACGGACCGCCGCAACACATGCAATTTGAACCCAAACGTCTCAATCATCACTGAAAATTGCTCAAACAACCTCTGATTCCGAAATGGACTGCGTCATTGCATCCAGAACAACTAATTTACTTGCTGGAGACACCTATGTTGATGTGTCTTCTTGCACGAATAATCGACACATAAATTAAGACATTTAAATTACAAAAAAAATAAAATAAAATAAAATTTTAAACCCTTTTCCTTCTCCAGCAATCCCACCGCCAATCCAAAATTGTCTCATGCTTTGCCCAACCCTCATTCAACCCATACTTCAACTCTATCCCCTCCAATGAAAGCCTTCCACTTCACCTTATAGAATTAAAAAAAAAATTTAAAAATATTTTTTTATTAAAAGTAATCCCTACCCAGCCAAAAAATTAAAAAAGAAAACTCACTCCCTCACGGCATGCTCCACTGGCTGCTCCCTCTCCTCACCGAAGCCCCTTTCGCGGCTCCCCCTCCATCTCGTCGGCGAGCTCTCCCACCGGCGCACCTATCTGTCTCCTTATTGCATCATACCAAGCCGCCGGCGAAGACCTGCAACGAAACCTCTTTCATGGCGCCGGAGGAACCCCACTCTCGTTGTTACCTCTGATGTTCTGATCCGCCACTCATTTTCTCCTACATGGCTGCACCGCCTTTCCAGCCTAATGTATATCACAGCCAACAGTCAGTGGTTACACCATTTCAGATACTGGTGGAGAAGCTCAGGTTCTTCAGATTATGCTGAAATCACAAGAGAAAGTTACTGCAACGCCTGGTACTATATGCTACATGTCTGGTTCTGTCCAAATCAACAATATCTACTTCCCTGAACATGAGGGGAGTTTATGGCAATGGCTTTTTTTTTTGGAAAGAGCATCACAACAGTAGTATTTACCAATGCTGGTACTGATGATGGATTTGTTGGAATTTCAGCACCATCTCCAGCAAGAATACTTCCCATAGATTTGGCAAATTTTGGCGGGGGCAATTCCTTGCCAGGTCCGCCTAAATCTTCACCACTGCAATGCAAGTATAAGACTTGTAACTCCTGAAACGTCCATCACGATGCATCAAGTGGGACACTATACACACTTTTCTTAGCGTGGTGTGGCGAAACTCGTATGTGGAACTTGCGACGCGGTGGACGATTCAAAAGGCTCATGAAATATGTATTTCAGCTCATTTCATTAGCGAGGTGGGGGTACTGCCTCTCCCATTGCCGGCTAAACGCTGGCTTCCTCCCGACTCCCTCTCTTTCCTGAAGTACAGCTCCTCCCTCTGTCACGCGGCAGCCTCCCTCTTCCATCCAGCCTGAAATCGAGAGCTCCCGCCCAGCAAGCTCTCCTCTTTTCTTCCTCCCCACCTCCACCTATCTGTCTCCTTATTGCATCATACCAAGCCGCCGGCGAAGACCTGCAACGAAACCTCTTTCATGGCGCCGGAGGAACCCCACTCTCGTTGTTACCTCTGATGTTCTGATCCGCCACTCATTTTCTCCTACATGGCTGCACCGCCTTTCCAGCCTAATGTATATCACAGCCAACAGTCAGTGGTTACACCATTTCAGATACTGGTGGAGAAGCTCAGGTTCTTCAGATTATGCTGAAATCACAAGAGAAAGTTACTGCAAAGCCTGGTACTATATGCTACATGTCTGGTTCTGTCCAAATCAACACTATCTACTTCCCTGAACATGAAGGGAGTTTATGGCAATGGCTTTTTTTTTGGAAAGAGCATCACAACAATAGTATTTACCAATGCTGGTACTGATGATGGATTTGTTGGAATTTCAGCACCATCTCCAGCAAGAATACTTCCCATAGATTTGGCAAATTTTGGCGGGGGCAATTCCTTGCCAGGTCCGCCTAAATCTTCACCACTGCAATGCAAGTATAAGACTTGTAACTCCTGAAACGTCCATCACGATGCATCAAGTGGGACACTATACACACTTTTCTTAGCGTGGTGGGGCGAAACTCGTATGTGGAACTTGCGACGCGGTGGACGATTCAAAAGGCTCATGAAATATGTATTTCAGCTCATTTCATTAGCGAGGTGGGGGTATTCTGTTGTATTTTGAAAACCAGTGCACGTATTTCTTTGAGTGGCAGGATACACCTCTTTACAATCATGGCGCAAGCCAACCATACACGCCTTTCTTGGCGTGGTTGGCAGACCCAGACCCCCGATGCAACCCCTCAATGGAGGACGATGCTAGGAGGCTGCCGAAATGTTGCAGGATTTTGGTCAGAATGTTGACCATAAAAGAACAATTAAATCGAATTCACTTGGATCAAAATGCAATCAAAATGAAATTCCCTAAACTATATATTAAAGACTAAAATGATTACTTGAACCATTTTAAACGAAAGAACTACATATAAATAGAACCTGCACGAACCTGCACGCCTCACAGGGGACTCGACGACTGATCAACAACCTGTTGGGGGTCCACCTAGATACTCAAACGAGAGCTAAGTATGGGAGAGAAACATAATATTAATTATGCAATCGAAGTCTCCATTCGTCTTCTTCGCCACCGGATCCACAATACATCTAAAAGCGGACAAAAGGCAACACTGAGGCGCTTGAAGTGAAGCTTTGCATATTTTCCACTGGATCCGCAACCCCAAATACACGAGCGAACATGAGGTGAAGATGAGGCCTCAAATGAAAATATTTGCACCAATCTCAATGATAATATCTTCGTGCAAATAACAATAAGAACTCTTAAAATTAATAAAAAAGAATAAACAATAGATTGAAACATCTGCATGAGCCTTGACGTGCCTCTAAATGTTCAAGCTAATAGAATGATGCACGACGACTAGCCGCCTTGCCTACAGGGCGAGGTTGTAAGTCCCCCACTTTGGCCAATCCGATCTTCCTCCCTACATGGACCGAAGTTGACAAGATCACTTTGATCATTCTGATCCTCCTTATAAGAACTGAAGTTGATAGGACTAATGCTCTTAAAGATGTTTAAGAAATCAATCATTGGGCTCCATTATTTACAGAGCGAGGTCTTAAGTCCCAAACTTTGGCCAATTTGATCCTTCTCCTTATGATAGATCGGAGTCGACAAGATTGAGCCAGTCTGGTCCTCCTCCTCATGAGGACTAGAGTTGACAAGAATAGTGCTATTAATAATATATAAATTTCAATCCTTCCCCGATGATGGCTGTGTTGATTGAAGATTTTAATTGTCTATTTTAAATTTGTCTCAAAGTCACTTTTGAATTCAATTATTTCAATTACTTAAACAGATTCTCTGTAAGCGGGAATAGTTGACAGGGTTTAAAGATAATCATTTCCCTGATGATGGTTGTGTTGATCGTAAATTTCAATCGAAGAGGTTTGTTTATAAAATTAAAATATTTGAAATCATAAAAAAATATTAAAAAAAAATTTATCACCTATGGCTTAAAGCAAAAATCCATCCACTCTGCAACCGTTTGTCGAAGTAGACAAATCTAATGTTGACTCGAGTTCACATAGAGCTAATGTCATATCAAGTATACTATTAAATTCATGCTCAAAATGAATTCTATGTCAGTAAGAATGAGGCCCGAGTCCTCTATCAGCGTAGTTCTTGTCACCGGATCCACAATACATCTAAAAGCGGACAAAAGACAAAAGGCAACACCGAGTCCTCTATCAGCGTAGTTCTTGTCGCCAAATAACACCACAAAGGAGCGGTTACAATCGACCTCTGATCGGGTAGTTTGTTGCCAAATGACACCATTATATTACAGTCACAATTGTAGCCCGTATGTTCCCCAATGATTGTCTGTCTTTTTTAGTATTGAATCATAGGGTATATTCGATAGGGAAAAGATCATTTATAAGTTAAAGTCGAGTTAGATTAGGCCCCTCAGACAAACATTCACCCCAGGTCTACAAGGTCCCCTTGGACAAAACAACCCATGACTACTGACAATGATCCTTTTGTCAGGTTGGGTTGAGTACCTCCGCTGACTAAGTAGACCCGAGACCATGACAACGCATGATGACGGAACAATGAAATCTTGATCGAGTTCGTCGTCGTTTCCCCAACCATCCACTCTGAGCTCACGAAGGTGATAAATTTTATAATTTCTAATTTAAATTTATTGCTACTATATGTTAAGTTTGAATACTTAGCGTCCAATGACTAGCCTTAATTGAAATGCATTCTCATTATCGAGAGAAGTAATTAACCATAGGAGCTTGCACCTATGGGCACCTATGGGAGACCTCGAACCCCAGATCAAAATGTCCTTACAAAATGAGGTCGAAATCTTTAGGTAGAGTCTTCTCTACTATCTCATCTTCCTTTTGAAAATTCAACCCGGAATTTAACAAACACACCGCATTAAGCTCTCATAGAAAGTTTGGAACGCTTCTCGAATTTTTTAGCCCACGGCTCAGAGGCATTTTTACAATTTTGTGCATGAGAATTTTCCCATTATTAGTTGGAGCAAATATGTTTGATATAAAGGTCATTGTATTAGATTTGTTGATACTACTTGTAAGATTGTATAATGGTCTCAAACCATGTGATATCTAATAGCTATAGGAATAATGCTGAATAGTGTGTTTTTTATGACTTTGTTATGATGAGGCACACAATCATCTCTTTTTTAGTCTAACTTTGCCCATATTTTATTAAGGAGTTGCATCCCTAATGAGAACTTCTTCATGTTAAGTGGAAATATGGTACTAATACTTGCTCATATTGACTCTTTCATTGCAAGTATCAATGAAAACTATTTTTTACTTGTTCTTGTTAAGACTAATTTTATTTGGAAGGAAAAAAAATATAGAATATTCAAAAATATTTCTACTCCTCTAGAGACACTTGGGCAGAATATTCATTGATGAAAGTAAAGAAAAAAAAAAAAAAGCAGAATATTCATTGATGAAAGTAAAGAAAAAAAAAATTAAGGTTGATATTCCCACTCAAATTATAGAGTTTATAAAGTCTGAATTCATAATTTTCTTTCTATTCAACATTTCCTTTCTTTGGGTTTTGCTATGCTGCTGATGTTTTGTCTTATTCTGCTTGTGGTTATTCAGTTGTGATGGCATTCCTATGGGGGTGTCTATCAGTGTGATTTGACGTTTTTGGTTAGAAATCTGGGGGTTATTAGTTAACCCAACTCTCCACTTTCACAAATGCTGCTTAAATTGATATTTTACGGATGCTTCACTTGATTTTAATAATTCCTTTTACATGAAAGGAAACCTTATATTATTGTGGGTGAATTTTCTGAGCTCACTCCACACCCTCCTCTTATGATCAATTTTGAAGTATATTTATCAGAGGAGGTTCTGTTTCCTTATCCTTTGTGTATTCTTATTCTGTATGGACTTAACAGTGAATTACATTCTGGCAGGAAACAATTATTTTGTGAAAATTGATGTCCATGGCGCATATGAATTGAATCTAACTGATTTATGCAAACGAAGAATTTCTTAGAGATGGCTGATTTTTCTGCTTGGTTAATCATCTCTACATTGGTTGATTTTTTTTTTTTTTAATGTTTTTGGTTTTCTGCTCTCGTCTCATGCATCATACTGTTGAATTTGCTTGTCAGATGCATTATACTGTTGAATTTCGTTCAAATAGAAACTATAGTATTCACCTACATCCTGGTTAGAGATTTCAGATGTTTTATGAGTTTGTTACTTTTTGTTCTTTTGTTGATTGTGATTGTATTTTTCCTTTTTTTTCGGGCTTTCTTGACAACATAATGTAATCGACTTTTCGCCCTCAAATTTCTCAAAAAAAAAAAAAAAGAAAAAAAAAAGAAAGAATAATGCACTCTAAAAGTTTACCGACGTCAATAAATAACCCTCTGCTTTCATTACCTTCGCAAAACTTATTCCCCCAAAGCCTGCCATAATTATTTTGCTGAGATTATGATAAAACCTTCCATATAAGACCAAACTGGAGTTGTATGACTAAAAAACTAAGAGAGAAAACTTACGCAATCCTTTTCCCTCTTAAAATACATAGAAGAAAGCCTTTGAGACCATGAGCTTTCTCCTGGTGACCATGATAACGGCTGGCCAGCCATGAATGCGCACCACCTTAGGTTCAATAACCCAGCAGCAATATACTCTTCACCCCGTTCAAAAATGGAGACTATTTTGGATTCAGCATCTGGATCTTCACTACATACAAGATCTGCAAATCTCATCTTTTTTTCAAGAAGATTGGTGTCATTATCATCGATCATGCGAAGGCTCAGTACTCTCAGAGCTTCCACTGCTGTGTTGTGGAAATTGAGTTCAGTATAAGCAGAGAATGTATACGCACAGGTTGACGGATCTGGCTTGACTTTTGCTCGATGCATTTGTTCGATCATGATTTCTATTAGATCGAGTAGTTCCTGTTGGATTCGTGCAATGAATAAGAATTTGTTGAATCCTAATGGGGAGTTCCTGTTGGATTCGTGCAATGAATAAGAATTTGCTGAATCCTAATGGGGCATTTACATACAAAACACACTATTCTTATCCATGTCTCACACCTAAACTTTCATGTTTACACACATAGTACACAAATTTTTAATATCACATAAAAAAGCACTATTACCACTTTTGAAAAGTAAAATAGACATTTTCATGCATAGGTTTAATGCACCAACTGCTATGTATATAAATATCAAACTTTAGGTGTGAGATGTGTAAATAGTAAAGAATTGTGTGATAGGGATGTAAATTTGCCTAATATGATAGATTTTTAGAAGGTAGGAGGATAGACTACTCTTGCATATTCTTCCTCTACTTCTGAAGATATCTTTGCGTATGCATGTTTAAGTATTTCATTGAAAAGGTGGACATCAAGTTGTATTTCATCAGAACTTATTTGGTTAAATATACCCAAAGCCCCATGAAAATCATCAACTGCTAGCAAAACCTGTAATTACAATTGAAATTATTTACATAGAAATCAAACCATTAGTTCTTATGAAATACTAGAAATGGAATTTGGAGCAGTTATTGTTTTTAAAAAAAATAATCTGTAAAAACAATTCAAATGAGAAAATTTGGAGTTTGCAAGAACTAGAAGATCTCAAAAGAAAGATATTGTAGTTCATTATCGGAATTAGATAAAAATTTATAAGGCCTCCAATTTTATTTGGCAATATAAGTGCAAAGCTTCACATGAGGAAAGACACAGCAGAGCAAGTAATAATAAATAATAAGGGAAATTTACGTAGATACCACACAATTCTTATGTATTTACATATCTAAAACTTAAACTTTGATATTTATGCTTATAAAATTTTGGTGCATAAACCGATACATGAAAGGTATTTTTTACTTCAAAAAAAAATTAATAATAGCAGTAGATGTTAAAAATTTGAGTGGTCTGATTATAAATATCAAAGTTTAGGTGATAGATATGTAAAGTTTATAAGAATTGTGTGGCATGCATGTAAATGTTCTTATCATGCAAAATACCTTCACAAGTGCAGTGTAAGTCATTATCTGCGGAAGGAAACCATCTCGGAGCATCAAAGACGTCAAGGCAAGTGCCGACCTGAAACATGAAATTAAGCTACAACATTTTATCATAATGTGGTATGTAGCAGCATCAGCTAGGAATCCATATGATCTCATTTTTTGGAAATATTCAATAGCAGTCAAACCCTGCATAAAAGCACCAGACAATTAAAACAACAATAATAATAATAATAATAATAATAATAGAAATCAGCAACTAATCAATAATTAAAGTATGAGCAAGAAAAACTTACATGGCCAGCTTCCACGAGTGCATGGAGAACGATGTTATAGAAATCAGTTATTTGATGAGGTTCAATCTCTAAAAACATTTTTTCTGCCTTCTTTACACGCTGGAGCATGGAAGGTATCATTCCCTCCGTTCCAAGAGCTCTTATCTGAATTTAGAGGATGACACGGCTCATGCATTTGCAACAAAACTTGAAACCATTGTTGAAATTTATATGAGATTGACTGGGTATTTTTTTGTGGGGAAGAATTCAAAGAAATTACTAAAAAATAACATAAGAACACTTTTAAATTTAACTAGTATAGTCTATTGATGCTTTAATTAAAAAAAAAAGAGTTATTGATGAAAATCAAATGGAATCTAGCTTTTCATGTTCATCTTGTTGTTAATTTGTTTTCAAAAGTAATTGTAATTTTCAATTTTAAAAGTTAAAAAATTAGCTTTATGTTTGTAGTTAGAAGATACTTAAATGTTGGAAGTAGGTTTGTTTATTTAATTTTGCTGATTAATTTTTAGAGTTGAAATAGCTGAATTAAAGGAAGTAACTTGTTATTTTTATTATTAATGAAATTCAAATTCGAGTTACAAATCATACATGCATCATCACAGTGGCAGTTTCATAAGTATGATGGAGGATTTGTAAATTAAATGATAAATCATAATTAAAACATTTCAATCGAAAAGTTTCAATGATATGTCACCCAAGGCTTTATTCACGTGGTCGAGTGTCATGAAATTCAAATTCAAATTCAAATTTGAAAGTTAATCAGGCTTTATCCTAATTTAACGTAATTATAAATATCATGGTTTTAAAAATAGGGTTCGATTGACCATCTCAATCAGTTCATTCATGAAACTGTGATTCGACTGCTTCAACCATGAACCGATCATTCGACTGGTTCAATCCAAGCTCAAAATTGTTATTGCACAAAACCAAATTTGAACCGGTCAAATCGAGGTTGAACTGGCAAACAAATATGGTTTTTAAAGAACCAACAATTCTAGTATTAACCAATTTTAGCATTTTGATTTTGATTGGATGGATAGAAATAGGATCTTTAAATTAAAAATAAAGCTATTGTTATGTGAAAATTTTGATTTAAAATATTATTCGAAATATTCAAAACTGAAATTTCAAAAATTAAAAAATTATTTATTGAATTGATAAAAATAATATTATAATAACATTAACATATTATTTAAATTATATTAAAATAAATTTTATATTTATCATGTCATTAGGTCTAACCCCAATTGAAAAATTGAATTTTGAGCCTCCCACTATTTTGAATCGATATCTGATCAGGTTTTCATAACCTTGATAAATAGTGGATAAATGAAATGGTAAAAAAAGTTTCTAGTTTTCTCCACAAATTTGCATATCCTTGTTGGCAAGCTTAATAATTTATGATAATCACGACCCGATCCGGAGTTTGGAATAACTAAGACGGGTAAAGACGATCGAACTTAAAAATTAAATTTTCTATAATTAATATTTTAATAAATAAAGAGCCACTATATAAAAAAATATAGTACACTTAAATTTACCTCACTTCTGGTTATTCGCATCTTCTCTAAATTTTTCTCTTCTATTGCCCGTTTTTTGATCAACTAATTATACCTAAGAAGTTATTTTAGACCAATAATGAGCTAATCATAGCCAATGAATACTCATACTTCTAAACTATAATAACATAATAAAAAAATAATAATATGCGGACAGTTAAATTTTTAATAAATCAGTATAAAATATTTGATAGTACATGAATATGATCACCAATGATATTTTATAATACTCAAAGTAGTTGACTATAACAATAATATATCTATATCATTTTACATATATACAACCGTTACAATAACACTATCATTTCAGTTACTTCAATATCAATATAATTTTTCATTTATTTGAACAAGTATCTTAGTGTTCTCCTGTCAGTACCATAAAAAGGTGACTACATCATAGCCAAATATGCATACACAAACAATCACAATAATAAATTAAATGCTTATTTTTATTTCATAACATTCATTATACAATATAATAATCTGAATTATGCATTTGAAGGACGTATACAAAAATTAGTAATATACAATTCAATATGATCAAATGAACTTAAAGAGCAAGTACAATCTATCAAAGCAATTAACACTGTATCACATTCAAAAGAAATCAAATTACTATCATAATTTTAAAATACAAGTAGTCACATCAATGTCGATTTATTCGTTCCTAGATTTGCCTTGATCTCGATTCTTTTAAAATTGATGCTCATATATAACATGATATTCACATTACTAAAATTTAATTTATTAGTATTATTTTAATTAACTATTATCTTTACATTATTTAAAGATTAATATCCATAGTTTTACTTTATGAAATTCTAATTAAATTTAATTTGCTATTCAATATATACTTTAAAATTGATTAATTAAACTAATTATAATATAAACCCAAACTTACTTTACTGGAGTATGCTTAGATCAATCTTTCTCATTTAACTCGCACACTTCACCAAATCCTCCCCTCCAAGCTATAATTCAACACCTTTAGTCTAATTAAATAAAATTTTCTATTAACATCAATTAATAAATACAATATATATATATATATATATACGCCCTTAGATGACAAGTTGGTAGGCAGCTGCGTTTTAGTCATAAGACCCACTGACTCGGGTTCGATCCGTACGTGAATGGATAGCACATATGGGAAGCAATATTCTCAAATTCAACTATTTTACAATATATATATATATTAAAAGAAGAATGGCCAGAGGCTATTATACGAGCCTCTGATCATCCCTAATGTGCCTAACAATCTCAGTACACCTGAGGGGTTTTATACCACGGATGCCCACCAACAAGTTGGAGTATGCGACACACACACACACACAACACACACACATATATCAAACGAAAGAAGTTACGGGTTAAGCCAAGATCCCGTTACCATTTTCTTCATGAGGAAAGAAGAAAGTTTCGGGTCTCTGTATGTTGATCCCGACTACAGCGTTCCAAGCACGCCAATCTGTTGCTTCCAGCATGCACGTCGATCCCATCTAGCGAGAAGTTCAATAGTTTGACCATGAGGTTATGTCATGAAGTTCAATCACGAGGGTTTGCAGCGTTAATTCCTATCTCTTATCAGCATATATGTCGCGATCCAGATGCTCTTCACAGAATCGAACGCTTTGACATCACTTGATACAATCCGACACAAATTTACATGATTTTCCATAGAAATTAGGGCAAAGCAGATTTTTTTTTTGCAATAATCCAAAACATTCAACACGAAAACATAGGATGAGCACCTCCTACTTGTTTGCAATAATCCAAAACATTCAACACGAAAACATAAGATGAGCACCTCAAGAGGAGGTGATCTCTCTCAAATCCTACAATTCAAGAGGTAGGAAGTCTCTCCCATACCTAACCCTAAACCTATCAAGGTCTACTTATACTAAATAATAATATATAAGAAAAGACTCAATTGTCCTTAGGCTTGACCAACATAACATACTTGAGTAAATTAGGATCGACAACAAATCTATCTACCATAATATAGATCATGTGCAATTGGAATAAGGCCGACAAAAAATTACAATAGCCATCATCATAATTAGCCTTCTTCTTCCAATTATTTGGGGTTATTTTAAAAACTCATATTCTCCATTCATTTCTATGAAGTGCTCAATGAGATGTTAAATCCAATTTTCTTCATATATGTTTATAATTTATTAAGAGGTTTTCTTTTTTAATTTTAGCATATTATATAATTCTAATTAGTGAGGCAGTAATTGAAATAAGTGAAAACTAAGAGAAATAGAAAAAATATATAGATGGCAGATGTCTAAGAATTAGTAGGAAAAAAAGTAAATATATGATATGTAGATTTAGAAGATATGATGCTAATAATTAGCATTTAGCATTATTAAAAGATAAGGTAATACACAAAAGTGATAGATTCAAGTATATTTAAATTATTATACATGAAAATGAAGAAATAGATGTTGATATTATTCTAGCACTAAGAGTAAATTGTTAAAATGAAAAATATTATGGAGTCTTATGTGATAAGAGGACAACAACGAAGCTCAGCGGTAAATTTATAAAATCACAATTACAATGATGTAAAAAAATATTAATATAAAAGCTGAGTGGAATAAAAAAAATATTAAGATGGATGCGTGCAAAAATTTGAGAAGGTTGGAGGGATATTTATTGAAAACAAATAGCCTTAGTCGAAAAATCTCTATCGTGTACCGGAGGAGTAATTGCACTTATGGGAAACTTGAAACTATATTTTAAACTCTTACCTAAATGAGAATAAGATCCTTGGAAATTTCATGCCTAAATAAATCTAATCCACCTTTTGAAAATTTTACCCTAAAATTAAAAAAAAATGTCGTCAGAAGAGCCAAACAAAAAATTTCAGATACATATTATTATTTTTATTAATATCTTATCTAGCAAATATGATTTGAAATATCTTATTCACCAGCAAATCATACTTTGAGTCAGAAGAGCTAGGCAAGAAATTTTGGATATATATTATTATTTTTATTATTATCTTATCTAGTACATACAATTTTAAAACTCTTATTCACCAGAGAATTAATACTTCGAGTGCTCTCCATCTAAAACAAAAGACTATTGAGCATCATAGTCATCAATGTTGGCATAATGTAGGCTCTAAAAATTTGCACCTAAGATTCAACTAGCTACAGTATGACGGGAGGTAGCGCGAGGAGCTAGTGTACGAGTGTTAGCTACAGCACTAGGGGTTTAAGAAAGAGAGGAGCAACCTATGGTAAAGCGGTGAGGAATGCAGGGAGATAAAGAGATAGGAGTGCGGGGGATTCTTACAAGAAGAGGAGGGGAGCTCAAAATAGAGAGGAATGCACTACTGCGCGATAAATAGATGAGCACGAGCAAGTGCTTGGCAAAAGAACTCAGTACGGGCTAAGAAGAGGTGTTATGGAGAAGGGAGAAATAAGAGGCGGAGAACTCTGGAGGGCAACTCCAGAAACTTATGGCCCAAGGGGAACTAGCATTGGGAGAGTTGGAGTAGAACAACGGGAATGAGCTGTGTGCGCTTTGGTCACAAGCACAAGGCGGCAATAGAGGGGAGAGCAATGCTTA